TCCTGGGAGGAGTCCAGCACACACCTCCTGGGGGTGTGGGCCACTAGACCTGTGTGCAGAATGACAGGAGGCTGCCTGGGGCCAGTAGCAGCACCAGTCTTCCCAGCACTGGGTTCAGGTTGGGGCCAGTGCTGGTCCCAGGGTGCAGTGGCAACCTGCTGTCATCCATGCGCAGATCCAGGAGCCTGCACCCCAAGGAGGAGTCTGGCACAGCCTCACAGCCCTCCCGGCCAGATCTGTGCGCAGGATGACAGGAGGCTGCTGCTGCTGGCAAATGACATGAGTTTTGCTTGTCAGCAACTTGAGGTGCAGTTTCCCATAAACCCCTGCACCTATCTCTTTGAAACTTGGTAGGCTGCATGCCCTCAGAAGGGACTACCATCCCTGCAATTTTCATCTGAATCAGGCAAGAAATGACAAACTTATAGGCATTTTCATGATTCCCCATTATAGCCTATGGGCGAAACATCAAAATGCATTGAATCAATGAAAACAGTTTTGACGAAATGAAATGGAACAGTTCTTCGAAATGAAACACTGTCCCTTCGAAATGGCGACACAGAAGTCGGAACGAAATGGTGCTATTTCACACAGCCCTAGTATTCATGATTACCAAATTGATGTGATTGTGTATTTAGTTTTTTGTAGTGCACCAGCAGATATAAATTTATAATAGCTTTTCAAAGTCACATGTGGTATAAGATCCTTAAACCTTTAGTATTTTAAAATACCATTGGCTATTGTTTAGCTACATTACCAAAGAGGCCTCACTGACAGCTTTCTTCCAAAAATGCTGTTCCCTCCCTAGGAGAGGAGAGAGCCTTGTGGCTCCCTCTCTCTATTTGAAGAATGATTTGGGAATGATTAGAAACGATGATAAGGGCTACACAAGGATTTCAGATATATTGTTTACTGTTGGACAATGTTGCTGCTACTTCCCTTTGAACCAACTCATATTTGTAATACATTTCACAATCTATGACAATGGTACACATTTTTAAACCATAAACTTGCGTTATGTTGCATTTGAAGTTATGACTACGTACAATCTGTTCAGTGATTTCATTGGTTTCACAGAAACTAGAATACCTATTGTCATGGAATCTGTGTTGAACAAAAATTTAAAAATAGCATAGACTAGCCTTCATGAAAATATTTCCACAGCCACCTTTGCTCCCAGTATGGATGTTTTAGTTCTTGTTTTGTTTTGACTCCTTATTTACTTTTTGTCTCTTCCCCTCTACTCTTCCAACTGTGGGGTGGACCTGGTAATATGCTACTAATAAGGGAGGGCCTTGTGAGAGAAATGAATCTTTTCCTGTTGTAAAAACACCTTAACAAAAGATAAGGCTTTAACAATTGGAGTCTAAGATACTTGCAAAAAGGTGTCCTGTCCCATTTCTTCCTGCCCCCCCCGAGTGGTGTCGGGCAACACGGAGCTGGGAAGCCAAGCTCGCGG